TCCATTTTTTTTTTTTTTTTTACTTTTTTTTTTTTTTGCTTTCTAATAATGGTCTATTGAGACTCAGCTATCCGTTGGCCCAATTTCGAGAAAATAAATAAGACGCCCACCATTGGTTTTAAATATTTTTTTTTTATTCCTGGAAAAAATGTGCTCTACAATAATCTAAAACATGGAAAATATGCGCCCAAACTACGCATATGGAATTGCGCATGTGGAGGTGCGCATGTTTAAATGCGCAGGTGGAAGAGTAGATAATTTTATTCAACTCATTTTTTAAGAAAGAAATGATCAAGGATTTTTGCTTTGAGAGGTGTCAAGGGAGGCCACGCGAACAATGGCGTATTCAGATCAAATTGCAACAAGGGTGAGCACTGAAACCGCGCATCCCTCTATACATCAAATACAAATCAGACACAAATCAAACCTGCAGGTCTAATGTTTAGACGCGTTAAGGGCCGGTTTGGGGGAGGGGGGGGGGTTGGAGAGAGAGAATAAGTTGGTTGTCGTCTGAACAATTCTTCGTCTTTTTAGTTGCGCCTTGCCCCACCCCTCCACCAGCGTGTCTTACCGCGTCATTGTTCCAGATACACAGCACCCCTCCAGTGGTGTAACTAGGTTTAGTGCCACCCGGAGTTAGGCTACGATTTTTGCCACCACCTTCCACAAACAAACAAAAAAACTCTGCTTGCACCCCACCTAGATACCTGCTGTTTGACCACATAATTCTACAGACACAGAAAACTGCCCTAGATACCTGCTGTTTGACCACATCATTCTACAGACACAGAAACCTACCCTAGATACCTGCTGTTTGACCACATCATTCTACAGACACAGAAACCTAACCTAGATACCTGCTGTTTGACCACATCATGCTACAGACACAGAAACCTACCCTAGATACCTTCTGTTTGACCACATCATGCTACAGACACAGAAACCTACCCTAGATACCTGCTGTTTGACCACATCATTCTACAGACACAGAAACCTACCCTAGATACCTGCTGTTTGACCACATCATTCCACAGACACAGAAACCTGCCCTAGATACCTGCTGTTTGACCACATCATTCCACAGACACAGAAACCTACCCTAGATACCTGCTGTTTGACCACATCATTCCACAGACACAGAAACCTACCCTAGATACCTGCTGTTTGACCACATCATTCCACAGACACAGAAACCTACCCTAGATACCTGCTGTTTGACCACATCATTCCACAGACACAGAAACCTGCCTAGATACCTGCTGTTTGACCACATCATTCTACAGACACAGAAACCTACCCTAGATATCTGCTGTTTGACCACATCATTCTACAGACTCAGAAACCTACCCTAGATACCTGCTGTTTGACCACATCATTCTACAGACTCAGAAACCTACCCTAGATACCTGCTGTTTGACCACATCATTCTACAGCTGCTGTTTGACCACATCATTCTACAGACTCAGAAACCTACCCTAGATACCTGCTGTTTGACCACATCATTCTACAGACTCAGAAACCTACCCTAGATACCTGCTGTTTGACCACATCATTCTACAGACACAGAAACCTACCCTAGATACCTGCTGTTTGACCACATCATTCTACAGACACAGAAACCTACCCTAGATACCTGCTGTTTGACCACATCATTCCACAGACACAGATTCACACCCTAGATACGCCTATCTTACGCAATAATTATTCCACACACACAGCAGAAGTGATGAATCTCCTGTCAGTGCATATTACGTGAATATCATTAGTCTTGGCATGACATATCTGTTTTTCATGGCTACGTTGTTTTGATTATGCACTCTACTGATCCATATGTACTCTTGTGATCCATGTGTACTCTGCTGATGCACATGTACTCTTGTGATCAATGTGTACTCTCGTGATCCACATTTACTCTTGTGATCCGTGTGTACTTTTGTGATCCATGTGTACTCCTGATCCCCATGTACTCTTGTGATCCTTGTGTACTTTCCTGATCCACGTGTACTCTTGTGATCAATGTGTACTCTTGTGATCCACATTTACTCTTGCGATCCGTGTGTACTTTTGTGATCCATGTGTACTCTCCTGATCCACATGTACTCTTGTGATCCATGTGTACTCTCCTGATCCACATGTACTCTTGTGATCCATGTGTACTCTTGTGATACATATGTATTCTCCTGATCCACATGTACTCTCCTGATCCACATGTACTCTCCTGATCCACATGTACTGTCCTTATCCACAATTACTCTCGTGATCCACATGTACTCTCCACTCTCTTGTGATCCATGTGTACTCTTGTGATCCATGTGTAATCTCCTGATCAACATGTACTTTTACTTTTTGTGATCTATGTGTACTCTCCTGATCCACATTTACTCTTGTGATACATGTGTACTCTCCTGATCCACATGTACTCTTGTGATCCACATGTACTCTCCTGATCCATGTGTACTCTCTTGATCGATGTCTTTTCTCCAGTTCCACATGTACTCTCCTGATCCACTATTACTCTTCTGATCTACATGTACTCTCCTGATCAACGTGTACTCTCCTGATTGATTTGTACATTCCTGATCGACATTCACTCTCCTGATCCACATGTAATCTCCTGATCCACTTGTACTCTCCTGATTCACTTGTACTCTCCTGATTCACTTGTACTCTCCTGATTCACTTGTACTTTCTTGATCCACGTGTACTCTCCTAATTCACAATTACTCTTCTAATCCACATATACTCTCCTGATCCACAATTACTCTCGTGATCCACATTTACTCTCCTGATTCACATGTTCTCTCTTGATCCATGTGTACTGTCCAGTTCCACATGTACGTCTTGTACATTATTTACCCTCATTTACCATGTGCACTGTATAATGTACATTATGCAAGAATGTACTAGAGGAGACAGTATAGAGTACTTATCATTTAAGCGTTCATTGTGTAATAGCAACGGTAGTAGTAAACGAAGTCACAAGGTAATCGTCCATGCTATAGTACTAGTAATGTTAACAGTAATAGGGATATTTTAAGTTATTGTTAAATTAGCTGTGACAGTGATAGGTTTATGCCAACACCGCTTGGACACAATTTTCTATTCGTACAGTTGATATAAAAATACACAGAACTCACAAACGCATCACAGCAATCTTTCAACTTTATTGATTTGTGTAAAGTTACGATAATTATTTTAATATAAAAGTATAAAAAACATGTTTATTAAACGACAATATTATTACAGTTGAGCCGAAGGCGCCAATTTAATGACCACCCCCCCACCCCACCCCGTGTGTGTCTATCATTGCCTCCGTCGTGCTGCTTGCAAGCGAAAAGCGTATCTCGTGAAGAGGAGATAAACGTGGAGATGTAGACTAGTTCAACGCATGATACAGCCCGAATGGGAAGAGCATACCGCCTGGCAGGCCGCCGCCCCCAGCACCTCCAGCACCCCCAAGACCAAGTCCGTTAAAGAGCGCCGAGGTGTACAACGCCTTGCTCAAGTCTTGTCCGGATAGCATCATGGCGTAGAACGGGTTGGAGAACAAGCCAGCCAGTCCGCCCAATCCAGGGGAGGAGCCTCCGGGGGGCGCCCAACCGTTGGATGGGGGAAATATTTGTCCTGTGAATGAGCAGATGGTTACAATGTTAGATGCTCGTTTGATGGTATTTGACGGCAGGGTCAACGCCACCATAGTCTTAATCCCCCGTTCCTTTCTATATATATGACAAAAACAATTGGATGAGTCATAACTGTTAGCTCTATTCAAGTGAGAGAAGTACTAGACATAAGATGGACGGACAACATTTGCAAGAAGTACCCATTTGTGTGCCTTAATAGTCTAGCAGAAAACTTGCTTGAACCACAAAAATTGCTCTTGTTTTATAAGTCAAATAAGTCAAAAAATGAGCTCAAAAAAGACTGTAACATAGGAGATGTAAACATCTTCACTGAAAGAAATATTGTGAGCGACAGGAGAACTTTAGCTAGTCAGCGAGTTCCGAATAGGCATATTGAACTATTCGCTCTTGTCATCATTTAAAAATCTAAAATAAAATTGAAACTCCAAATGGCACAATGGGTGTTGCCCCCCCCCCCCCCCCCATTTCCTATTTATTGTGATGTGGTGTCGTGCAGAAACATGTGGTGTTGTAATGTTTATTTATGTGTTGGGGGGGGGATGGGGGGAATTAAACTTATATAATTTAAAGATTTCATTAAAATGTATCCATAGATATTCAAGCAACTTAGGACACATTTCTAGAGGAGTTTTAAGCACTAAGCTGTGTGACACTTTTTTTACTTGTATGTTTTCTTCCTCAATGTCGTCTGGGTATTGCGTATTTAAACCTAGTGGCAAAAACACAAACATATTTTTATTTATTTATTTGTTCAATAGGGACTACGTGCGGGACCCAATAATCTTAGTAACAAACATCATTTTAGAGGCTTACCGAAGCACACACTCGTCGACACAATCACCAGTAGAACAACACACTGGGCACGTGACATCTTGGCCTGTGTACAAAATAAATAAAAAATATCACAGGGATTTAGTCAAACAGTTAACATAATCCATTACATATATATTGGGGGGGGGGGTCGTTAATAAATAGCATTGGTGTTCTTGTTTGACAAGTAATGCTTGGAGATGATTCATTATTAAAGCGGAGAATTGAACTATCTCTGTCTTGGTAGGACGTCACATAGGACGAAGATTTGAACTGCCGACTTTGTCTTGACAGAACCTAACAGGGCGGAAATTCGAAGTGCAGACTCTGTCTTGACAGGACCTGACATAGGACGGAAATTTGAGGTGCAGACAGAGAGAGGGAGAGCTTTATCATATGATGGGTCCCCGCTAATAAAAAATGTAGTTGATTTATAGTCTCATTCAATTTATTCTTATACTTTTTAATGATTAATCAAGTACAATGAAATCGTCAATATGAATATTTCTTGAGTTTCCCAATCATCGTTGATTATGCCACACAACACATTTCCTCTAGAGCCAATTCTTCAGGTTATGATGTGAGTTAACTCTTCGGGTTATGATCTGAGTTAACTCTTCGGGTTATGATCTGAGTTAACTCTTCGGGTTATGATCTGAGTTAACTCTTCGGGTTATGATCTGAGATAACCCTTCGGGTTTTGATCCTAGCCAACTCTTCAGGTAATGATCTGAGTTAACTCTTCGGGTTATAATTTAGAAATTAATAAAGGTAGATAAATGAGTCTTCCGTGATAAGTGTGTACGTAAGGCTTAAAATCTAAGACCAATAAAGAAATGACTCAACGTTTCCGCATCTTCGGCCCATCAGACACATGTCTAATGATAGGACAAAGAACTGGACCAAAACAAGATCGCTAAAGAAGTCTAAGTGAAATAAAAGGAGATTTGAAAGAAACGTTTCCTAAAGTGTTACCATCAAAGATTATATCCTAAATAAATTAAACCATTAAGATAAATTTTGATCTCATTTTGATATGAGAGTTTTTTTGTTGTTTTTTTTTTTTGTTGTTTTTTTTTTGGTGTTTTTTTTTTAAATATCAAGTCCTAGAAAATGAAACCTGTTTTTTTGTTTTTGTTTTTTTTTTTGTTTTTTTTTTTATTGTTTTTTTTTATTTTTTTTTTTTTTTTTTTTTTGTTGTTTTTTTTTTGGTGTTTTTTTTTCAAATATCAAGTCCTAGAAAATGAAACCTGTTTTTTTGTTTTTGTTTTTTTTTCTGTTTTTTTTTTAATTGTTTTTTTTACAACAATATATTTTTCAAAGCCCAAAATGAACACACCCCCATATTGCAGGAATTTAAGTTTTAAACTTGTTGTTAGATAGGATCAGTCTTGCTAAAGTCAATATGCTAATGATATGTTAATGTCAATGCTATCAACGTGTTGAAAGATGCATGTGTAATTGATGTAAGTCTGTTGCTCACATTTCAAAGAGCGCCGACCATGAGATGTCTGGTGCATTAGACGGCCGACCGTGAGATGTCTGGTGCACTGGACGGCCGACCGTGAGATGTCTGGTGCACTAGACGGCCGACCGTGAGATGTCTGGTGCACTAGACGGCCGACCGTGAGATGTCTGGTGCACTAGACGACCGACCTTGAGATATCTGGTGCACTAGACGGCCGACCGTGAGATAAGGCGGCCGACCGGGAGATGTCTGGTGCACTGGACGGCCGACCGTGAGATGTCTGGTGCACTGGACGGCCGACCGTGAGATGTCTGGTGCACTAGACGGCCGACCGTGAGATGTCTGGTGCACTAGACGACCGACCTTGAGATATCTGGTGCACTAGACGGCCGACCGTGAGATGTCTGGTGCACTAGACGACCGACCACTGAATGTCTGGTACACCAATCAATCTTGTGTGCATACACCGAACCAGCAATAGATTCATTTCAACGCTTACACAACCTTGTACAATAAAACTTTGTCACTAACGAAATGCGATCATGTTGACGGCTTAAGCTCCATGAAGACCTCTTTTTTTTATAGTTTATCCACAATGATCACTGGGACGAGGTGATATATCCCTAGATGTCCAATTGATGGATGGCTTGCATGGCCCGCAACAATGTGGTGACCTCTCTGTGTCTTGATGTTAACAAAGCGATGTCTTTTTCACTCATAATAAAAACTAAGCTGACACTGTTTTGAAAAAAAGTGATGTACTTGATCTCATAACCCCGAAAAGGGCTTTTAAAAAATGAAATATTAAATTGTTGAATTTTAATTTTTTTTTAAAATTTTATTTGTTGAAGACAACAGGATGGACAATAACATAATGTGTATAATGAATAAGTGAGGAGTGGTAGGCGCAGCCGTCAGGTGACGAGTGGAAAGAGTTCATCCAGGTGGCCCGCTTTTTGGTGTGGGGAAGGCTGTTTGTGGTCCACTGCATATATTTTTACGTCTTTGAAAATACTAGTACGCCATATTGTCAACAATGGGGTGGGGGGATGTCAAAACGACCCCCCCCCCCAACCCCAAGAGTAATCGGCCTGACACAAAAGGAATGTCCCTGAACTTGGAGGGGGGAAAAAAAGCGAGACAAATCCAAGACTATGTTAATAATTATTGCTACTCACACTCAAGAACTCAAAAGTCAGGGCCGGCGCTAGGAGATGGCGAAGTGGGCGACCGACCAGAGCCCCGTGCGTTGTCGTAGTATATTTATAATATAACTAAAGCTTATGACCAGCAAAAAAAATGCGTGCAATGAATGGGTGGAAAAAAAAAAAATTCCATTTATTTGGATCAGTAAAATGATCTTATCTTATGGGCTGCTATCAAGATTGTGTAAGAAGAATCTCTTGCGGTTGTCACGGTTGAAAGGCTGGATGATCAGGCAGCGCCGCGAGTGTCACAGACCCTAGCTACACCACTGGTTAGTAGGTGGACACATTAAGAAAAATCTCGTGCTTCTGTCCCTTGGCGAATTATCTACCATTATTATTGTTACCAAGGTTTCTAATCTCAAGCTGACAC